AAAGAAAAATAAGATATGAATATTCCCAGCCACTGTTTTTTTGTCACTTTAAAGAAAAAACAAAAGACTGATCTGCCCTTTCCTTTGGTTTTAAGATTCCCATAGCTTCCCTCACAGTCTTGGGTTAGGAGTTTCTTTTTCCTTTTTATTTACCAGATCTACTGAAAGAGAAGATGTCTAATCACATCTTCCTGCTGCCACCTTGCTGCCAGTCTCTCTAATCAAGGAGAAAGGAGAGAAAGAAGGCATTGCACTGAGTTTTCTTTCTTTCTTCTCTCAACCCTGTACCTTCCACCTCACCTTCCTCAGCCCCCACCTTTTCACCAGCTGCTATAGTGTGAAGCTACAGCCAAGTAAAACTTCATCTGCATAAAGTACTACATTTACCTTAGCGCTACCTGAAACTGTAAGTAACTGAGTCACCCTGGCCTATTCTTTAACTGTCTTCGCTTCTTTCCTTTCCACCACTTCCTCAACGCTACTGGGGCTGCCTGGTGACTCCATGGAAATTTCTCTTACTAGGTTCAGGAGCCATCTCTTATTTCCAAGTCCACTGCATCTTTTTTACTACTTGCTTTTTTGCAGCATCTTATACTGTAGACTAAATCCCCTCTATAATGTTTTCTCTTAGATGACATATCAGGACTCTTTTTTCTGCTTCTCTTTTATCACTAAACTTTCCTTTTAAGTTTATTTTACTGAGTCCTATTCCTCAGCCTCTTCTGATCATTTTAGGGTGTTTTGGGGTTCTGTCTTTTCTGCTCTCTCCTCTAGCCACATTCTTCATCCTTAAAGGATTTTATGCATGTTGCATCAACCACAGGTTACACTGTAATAGTCTCTAATGTGGTCTGCAGTTCAGGCCATTCTTCTGAGCTGTCTAACCAAGCTGGTGAGTCAGAGAGGCTGAGCGCTAACTGGGTGCACATTATGTACTAAGTTCTTTTGATATGGGCTCCCATATAGATCACATTTGATTCTCACAGTAACTCAGTAAGATCATTATTAACACAGTTGATTGATAGGTGAACAAGCTCAGCTCTGAAGAGATTAAAATAATCTGTCCAAAATCATCATAGCTCGGAAATGGTGGCAATCAGATCTGAACTCTGGTTCTGCCAACATCCACTTGGATTTTATGTTTCTAGTCTTGTCCCAGTTCCTACACCTTTACCCTAACCCATTCTCTGGACAGCCATTAGTACTTTTCCCCTCAAAACCACAAATCTGATTTTGTCGTTTCTGCTTAAAATCCTTCAATGGTTGCCCAACATCTATGGCGTTGGTTTTCAAACCTGAGTAAGCTTAAGAGCCACTCAACTAGGGAGCCAATTCAAATTTAAATTCCCAAAGATTCTGATCAAGCCAGTTCCTTCTTTATACCACAGGAAGAAAAACCCTGACCCAAATTTCTTAGCTTATCTTGCCAGGCATATCATGATGCAGCACCTGATTATCTTTCTCTCCTTATCTCTGTCCATACCTCTACCTGTCCTTATGCTCTAGCTCAGTGGTCAGCAAACTACTTAGAACAAATGAATGGAACAGGAGACCTTGTCCTCTGACGTAAAAGGGTAAAGGAAAGGAAATCTCAAGGTAAAAGAAATCTCATTTTTGGCATATTACTGAAAATTGGTATACTACAAGGTACAAAGAAATATAATACAAGGGGAGGACAGCCACCCATCTAAGCATATTGTGGCAAGTGGCTGGTCCACTCAACTAGAACTTGATGCTCTAAATTGTCAGGTAGGGCAAACAGTTGGGGGTCTTTCACCAGCTGATTGTCTGAGGCAGGAACACATCTGATCTATTCCCATTCATTCATTCATAAGCATAAAACCCAAATGTAAAATAATAACGGAGACCCTTCTTATGATCAAAGCCTCTGGATATAATATATTTCAATTTTCTTTGTAAGTGGGGATGGGGGGTGGTGGGAAAGAGGGGAGAAGAGGCTTTCCTAAAAAAAAAAAAGGCACTTTTTCTTAGTGGTAGACTTGAAGTGGGCTGGGGAGACAACCTTTTCCACACAGATTAACAGTTAAGGGCAGAGTTCAAATTCACTCTACCATCCTATCCCCTCGCTCCCATCCTAACTAAAGACCACAGTTAAATGCAAAGGTTGGTGTAGGGGTAAACACAGCTGCAAATGTTCTGCAACAGCATATCTTAAGAATCACCAAAATGAGTATCTCAGATACCTACTGTATTAAGGACCAAGGAAGTCACCACTAGGTAACATAAAAATGATAATATTTTTGCGTGCCTACTAGGTGTTAGACTCTGTACTCAAAGGTTTATATGCATGATCTCTATTCTTCAACAAAGCCTGTGAAAAATATGTCCATCATTTAATAAAGTGCAAACTCAGAGTGGTTACATAACTTAGCCAAGTTTCTTTTTTTCCTTCCTAACTGCCGTACTAGAGATCTACTCAGTCAGTATTTGAGCTCTGCCACTTAGTACTTTCCTAAGCCCTCAATTTTAGATGCTGAATCTCTCTCTTGCTTTATTTTTCGCACTTGCTGTGTTTTATACACTGGCTGGTTTGCTCACTGAAGCATACTGGTTAATAAAGCCCAGGTACATCACAGAAATTTAATGCCATCTGTCCCAATGCAATCCAATCACTATTAATTTGTGCTCTAGGCTGTCTCAGGCATACTGCTAGACTTCTGGGAGGCAAAACTGCATCCCCATTGAAATTCGACCTGCTTTTGCACCAGGGAGCTAGAAGGCTGAATGAGGAGAGCTTTTGGCAAACTCATTCATCACCAGTGATGAAAACAACTCTGAATACAGAATCTTATCAAGGGAGATTCTCACATCACCATCGTCATCGATTTCCTGATCTGCTCATTCAAACACTGCCTCTAACTGCTGCTCCTGCCGACTTCATCCTCTTCCTGTTGCCCAGGCTTTGCTCTCCTTTATGATTTCACTGGCATAGTGGCCATACTTCCAAGCCCCACCCCTCACCTTCCTTTATAGAGAAAATGGAACATGAGACTCCATGATCTGTTCACTATGTGAGGCAAAGGTGTGTCTGTGCATACTAGGAGGGCAATACAATTTGGGAAACTGTACAACTAGAACACAGAACAAGACAGGACTGGGAGCTGCCACAGCCTTATTTGAGGGCTGCTTCACGCTGCCTGACGGCTTCAAGAGTAGTCTAGTCTCCGTGCATGGCATTTAAATATTACTCATCCACAACTACAACACATATTCAAAGTGAAAGTAGTGTATGTACTATTCATCCAGAGACACTGGAAATGGATTTTCTCTTTCATAATCATTAAAATTTTATGAAATTGCTAGTTCCTAAACACTCTCATAAAACAATGAATTAATAAAGAATGACAACTGACTTTATCTTGCTTATCTCTGTACCCTATAGGAAGTAAGTTATGATAGCCTACCCCCTAATTTAACAGCACTTTTTCAGGCAAAACAATAAGATTTTATACCCCCAACTACAGTTTGCATCTTTGGGAAATAATTCATATGTGAGTTTATAGGTCAGTAAAATAACCCAATATCTTGTGTATTTTTCTTGGGCTTTTTTGAGATTACTGAAGTCTTTGAGGAAATTATTAAATATTTCAAAGATCTGAAAAAGCAAACAACTGAAAATTATGTTGACTACATCATGAGACTCAAGGAAATGAAAGAAAATTATTTTAGTAGCCTTAAACATTATTCTCTGGGAAAGATAAAGGAAACAGTGCTCAGATTTAATTTCAAAATTTAACACTGAAAGATCAAGCTAGCAAAGCCTTTTATGGAAAACTATTTTCCGGAAAACTTTCGGAACTCCCCTTCTGTCTTGGAAACAGCACTTCCTATTAGGAGGGGTTTGGTGCTTCACAAGCTAACTGTCCCTCTAGGTGAGTCCCAACTCCAGAGTACTGTGTTGGACTTTCCCTTCTTAGAGACTTCTGCACGAACAGGAAGAGGTGATAACGCAGAGTAAAACAAGTAGCACAGAAAAAAGCTGGGCCTTTTTTCCCCCCATTTCTTTGAGCATGGATAGAACAAAAATTTTAAAGCAGCAACGTGTCACTGGTTAGGTGAAAGGGCACCCAAACAAGGAAACACAGTCCCCTGGAAAGCATAAGGAAGGAGTGAATTCTACTTCAAAATTTGGCAAATTCTAGAAGTCTGAAGTCTGACTTCTTAAAAAATGCCAGTTCCTAAACATCCTAAAACATCAATAAGTTGACTGTCCCTGTCTTCATAAAATAAAGCTAGACAGCACTAACGTGGCTGGACATAAAGGCAGAAATAGGTCAGGTATAAACTAGATATATTAGCCAATAATGGACTTCTATGTTGTTATCATAGGGACAAGTGATTTGGCTCGAGAAAGGGGACATGGTAACAGGCTCTCACAGTAGATTAACGAGAAGAAATCCCCGACTTTTCTTGGAGAAGTCTTTCTAGAGGAGGTTAGCTTCCACACTCTGGAGGAACAGCAACAGGAGCTTAGCAGAGTGTTCCAACCAACCACAGGAAAATACCTCCGAGGGGGAGTGAACTGATTATATGAATGGGGCATTGAGTAAGGGAGCCTGAGAGGAGAAAGGGGAACCGTCAAGGGGAAGAGGCTGGATCAGGGCGCGCTCCTCAGGTCTCTAAATTGGAGAAAGGCTGGGAGGGGGCAAGGCAGGCCAAAAGGAAAAGGACAGTGGTTTCTTCACTGATCTCGGTGGACAAGTCCAGCACTAGGGTTTGCACTACCTGGCAAAAGCTGACCAACAGGCTTGCCCTGGCATTGAAAATTTTCCAGAGGAGAGGGCCCTTTCGGGAAAAACGCAGCCCCGGTGTTCCCCGAATTCCTGGGTGGGTACCAGCGGGCAGTAACTGGCGCGGCGGGGATGTGGAAGGCAGGTGTTTCTCGGGTGTTGGCGTGGACTACGGGGCTCGGCGGCGGGGCTACACTGAGCGACAAGCAGGCGGCGGCGGCAGCTGCGCGTGCAAGCCACAGCACTTACCTTACTGTCATCCATCTCGGCAGACAGGCCGGCCTGGCCGGGCGCTCCCTCCCCCTGCCCTCCCCCGGCTCAGCCGGCCTGGCCCGGCCCGGCCCCCGCCCCGGGGGAAGAAGGGGGTATGGTTCTGACTGCCGCCTCCTCTCGCCTAACAGTTCGTTTCCCTGATGCCACAGTCACGGGGACGAGGGACCAGTTCAGGAATGGCAGAGCGGACCCTGGAGGCGGCCCAAAGCGCCTCCCTTCGCCGCCGCCTCCTCCTCCCCCTCCATGACAGTCTCGGGGTGTGTTTACAGACGCCCTGGAGAGCGGCCCGGACGGGAGGGGGGGCGGGAGCGCCGCGCGCGAAATGGCCCCTTCGGCCGCCGTAGCCCCGCGGTCTTCTGGGAATGGTAGTTTTCTTTACGGCAGTCTCCGCGTGACTGACTTGAGAGAAAACTACAAGGTCCACAGAGCCTCAGGAAGGAGTCTGTTTTCCTCTTGTCTGCCAGCGCTGCGGAGGAGGGGCCGGGCGGGAGACCGAAACTACGTTTCTCGCTGAGCGCTCCCGGCATGTTTTGGCCTCTGGATGCCATAGGCCGGCCAGAAGCGAAGGGAGTGTGGGGCTTCCACCCAGTCCACGCTGAACAGGCCCGCCTCAGCATCACCGAGGAAACCCTAAAGGTTCCTTATTTTAAAAAACAACTAAGACTGTAAGTGGTGCAGCTCTGGGGAAACAATTTGACAGTTTCTCACAGTAAGACATTTCCTTGAGAAATGAAAGCATACGTCCACAGGAGAACTTGTACACGGTGTTCTCTTATAGCAGCATTGAGAGGTGGAAAGGAACCAAAGCTCCATATATGAATGAGTGGAGAGGCTATTGTGGCATATACAATGGAATATTACTAGGCCGTAAAAAGGAACGAAGTCCTGATAGATGCTACAGTGTGGATAGATCTTGAAAATATGCTAAGTGAAAGAAGCCAGACACAAGAGACCGCTTAGTAGATCCCATTTATTTATTTATTATTTATTTTAAAAGGTTTATTTATGCACACAAGAGTTGGGGTACAGGCCAGAGGTGTGGGGGGGGTGAGAGGATTCACCAGAGACAGAGTGGAGAACAGAACAGGCAGACTGACCGAAGTACACTGCTGAGGGGAGCAGCAGGCAAGCCAGGAGAGGTCTGCTGCGCCATGTGGGTTGCTCGCTGGCCACCAGGGGATGGAACTCGTGCTGCAGAGGCTGCGAACAGCTTCATAGTTTGCTTCTTAACCCGTTGCGCCACCAGGGAGGCCCACCTAGATCCCATTTAGAATGAAAGGTCCAGAATAGATATGTTTAAAGAGAGAGTTTATAAGTGGTGCCCATAGTCCAAGCACAGGGCATGGGGAATGATTGCCAGTGGTTACTGGGTTTCTTTCTGAGAGGACAAAAATGTTCTCACATTGTTTTGATGATGGCTGCATGCCTGAATATATTATAAACCACAGAATAGTACATTTTAAATGAGTGAATTTTGTGGTATGTGAATTTTATCTCCTTGAAGACAACAAATAAGCATGTCTTGTTCCCCCAACCTAAATAAGTCAATCAGCATGTTGTCACTTGTTTTAGCCCATATTAGGGCATGGAGAAGTAGATAGAGAGTGTGTATTGGTTAGTGTTACTTTTTGAGAACACAAGAAGTAATTGACTGCTTTTCAAAGACTCCTGACGTGCTTTGCTAAACTAACTCTTCCAAAATTCAGTTGAGGTAGAGTTCTCAGATTTAGCAGTAAATGTACAGGACACTCACATTTGAATATCAGATAAATACCTTTTTAGTACAAATATGTTAGGTCCCATACACTATTTGAGACATACTCTTGGATTTGTCATTTGAACTGCACATCTTTTACCTGGCTACTATGAACTGAGAAAGTGTAATAATAGGGAAGTTCAATGTCTTTAGAGGAACTAAAGCAGGTTAGTTCTTTCAAGTAAATGCCTCCTAGCCATGTTGTATGATTGGAAACTGGTCTGGCGTGGAGTTGCCAGTGTTGGGGTCAGCCAAGGATGCACCCATAGCCACAAACTGAGGTCTGAGTGCTACCTATACATATCTTCTCTAATAGTCAGGGGTACAAATGTCTGTGCTAATATTAGCTCTCTTCCTTCCTATTACCCTTTTGTTCGACACCCCCACTAACCACATTCCACTTCCTTCTCACCTCCTTCCCTACCATTGTCTAGTATGGCCTCAATTTGGCCTCACCACTCAAGCCCTTTCAGCTGCAAAGCTGTTTTCTTTGGGGTTAAGTTGCCTTCTCCCTGAGTTAGTCCTCTGCCTTTTTCTCTTCCTGCATCCCAGCTGACTGAGTGTACCCTGACCTCTGTAAGGAACTTCCACACCCTGTCCTTCCACTGATGGCTTTGCTGGGCTGGTGCATGTGAACTGCTCACGAACCCCTTCCTGCTTTTCAGGAGGGAAGACTAAGGCCTTTTGAACCATGAAGTGGAAATCTAAAAACATACAGGGGACGTATATACCCCAGCTTCAGGAGAGTGGTTATCTCTAGGGAGAGAGCAGAAGGGGGAATGTGGTTCGGGTCTTGGGCTGTTAGCTGTATATGTAATTTGACTATTTTTTTTCTACAGGAATGTTCTACTTTCAGAGAGAGGAGGAAACCTGTAATCAGTAGAGAATTTCCATCAGCTCTTGCCATCACATTTACCCACTCCCTGCATCTGTGTGCAATGAATTAGATACTTCATGACACGGAGATGGAAAAGGAAGGGTGGAAAACTATTCAGAGGAAAAGACAAACCACTGATGTAAGAGAGGTAGGAAGTGGCATGAGATTAAGTGAGAAGGGTAAGGGGACAAAATTTTACTTATAAGGGACATGAAGCAAATATGTTCAATGTGATGGTAGAGTATATGGCGTATTGTCTTTGTATTTTCTGTACATTTCAAATAGTACAGTCAAATTAGGAATTTGCATTCGAAAAACTAGAAACAATTTATTCATTTAGCTAAAAAAAATGAACTTTAGTCATATTAGAAATAAGCCTTTATAAAGGGAAGAAAATCTCATAAAGAAGAATCTGTTAAACATTTGCTGGGAAGTACTCAGAATTGTAAACAAAGAGGTAAGGAGAGAATAACAGGGAGTATTTGTTCCTAGAAGTAGTAATCCCCAAAGAGTTTATCATCCAGGAAGGAGAAATACGCACATACAGAAGACTAAGCCAGGCATCTGGTAGAAAATAATACAGATCAGGTTTAGTATCTTTGCGCTGATAAGTTGAAGTTAAAGGGTTGTTGAAAATGGTAACATTCTGAGAGCCAAGACTCAGACTAACTCCTGGAAAAGGGAAAGTATATACAACAAATGCGTTTTTTTTTTTTAAGGCGTGGGAGGAAATTTAGTAGAATATGCTCTTGGGATTCTGGGCATACTTTATATTCATGGCTTTCAATCATTTTTTTCCTATAGCCTCTTCTCACAAGGAACCTCCGAGGCATGCAATTTCTTTTTCAAAAAATGCATATAATTTTCTCCTCCCTACGCTTCTGCTACCTCCCTCCCTGATGCATACACAAACACATTTCAGATACTCTCAGACACCCCACATAGAGGCACTGTTGGCCTGTGGTGTGGCAAGCCTCTGCTGCTGCTGGTGTGAATTCCTAAGCAGCATGGCACACACCCACTCCCCTAGGTCTGCATGCCTTCCATGCACTCTCTCTCTCTCTCCCTTGTTCCCCTTACCACTGGGGCTAAAAGAGCACAGGTGTCCAAACAGAGCCAAGATGATCATGTTACTCCCTGGGCCACATGGGTCTGCTTGGCACATGTTCCCTGGGGAACATCAGAAAGAAAGGAAGCTCATTAAAATAGCTTCTTAGGCTCCAGCTGGCTTTCCATTAAGTTTGACACACAGAGTCTAAGAACTGAAAAAGTATCCAGCCCTTTCCAGACTTCCACTGGAAATGAAAATTGCTTGAGTCAGTTCTAACTTGGACATCTTGGCTAGACTTATCTCCAATCTAGAAATTGCCACAATTCAAAGCAAAGCCTATCCAGAAAGAAACAAAGGTGGCCACGAAATCTACCACGGTCACTGCAGACCCATCTTTACACATACCAGGCATGTGGGGGAAGAAGGTATCCCAGTGGCAGCCTGGAAATGTCCAGTTAATACTTCTCTGTCCCAAACTTGTCTTTTCAAGGAATTGCTAATCTGTGGCTGAGTGAGAAAGATTTTAAAACACAGCGGGATTGTACAGTGAGTCTGTGAATACTTTATGTGGTGACACTGAGATTGAGCAAGGCAGGGAGGCAAAATATTCAAAGAAAAAAAAAAGCATTGAAGGACAAGAGGTAGGGGGTGGCATAAAAATAAATGAGAAGGGTAAGGGAACAAAAATTAACCTTATTGTAGAAACCACAAACCAGGGAACAGTACCATATTCTACATGCAGGAATGTCATGGCTACGTTGGTATGTAAATCTGGCACTCGAACAACAGAGTATTATTGCTGCTGATAGGGTAATCTTCAGAGGTACAGAGAAAAAGTGGGTGGGTCATGTGAAATTCATGAAATGCTTGAGGTGAACTCACTGTTGAAGTATTAGTCATGTTTTGTTTTGTGTGTGTCTCCCCCCCCCCATTTATTTTATAGATAAGTATTCCTCTGTACTTTCTGTTACCGAAAAGTTTAGCTATAGAGGGTATAAAGTATTCCATTTCAAAAGTTTGTTTCTGTTCTAAAGGCATTGTGCAAAATGCCTCCCTTCCTTTGGCCTACACGGACAAATATGCCTACATTTGCATACAACACAGTACCTATTTACTCTCTGCATGGGTTAGAAAGTCTGAGGCAGGAGCTTAAAAGAACATTTTCTGAGTGAGCACATAATTCAGCCTCCAGCTTGTCAGCAGGAGCAAAATAAATAAAGCCAAAGAGGACTTAAAACAGTTAGTTGACATGGAAGGCAAAAGAAATCCAATCAGCACAAAAATCAGGAAGAGAAAATGAAGCTAAAGGAACCAAAACTTTCCATGCTCAAACTTTCCCTCACCTCTTCCTCTTCATCAACATACTGAAAGTTTCTCCTCAAACTCAACAGCTTTTCTTAATATAGTCATGAGTATCTCTTTTAAAATACTGTTGCTATTCTTAAGCCTTATACTATACATAGTAGAAAAGAGTAAAGTGGCCCTTATATCAGGAAATAATAGGGGATTTATTAATAATTGGGAATTTACCTAACCAATAAGCAACTTTTAAAACTGAACTACCCTTTGTAAGAGATGGTTTGCTAAGTATCACTGTTAGTTATTTACACGTT